CCAGGTAGAATAATTTCTAACAATAATGTCCACCAAGTAGAGAGTACCCAGAAAGTAACAATTAAGATACCATGGCTGACCCAGTGCTGAAACAATATCCCGAAGTGGAATGTCTATCATTCACATCTCCAGCCCAGTCCGCGTCGGTAAAGCCACTTAATACGAATTCTTCATGTCTTTTATACTTCAGACCATGGTCAAGTGAACCCTTCACATAACGAAGAATTCTTCTTGCTGCATCTAGGTGTGAACTTCTTGGACATTGCATTAGCTGAGAAACAATTCCAACAGAATAAGCAATCTCAGGTCTTGTGATAGTTAAATAAATTAAACTACCAACAAGTTGCTGAAAACTTCTAGCATCCTTTAATTGTGTTCCTTTATCTTTCATCATTTTGAGATGTGGCTCAATTGGAGCAGCTTTCTCTTTCAACTCCCCCATGCCAAAACGCTGCAACAACTTTCTTGCATATGCCTTTTTGAGAAACAAATTATCCTTGATCTGTTTTTTCAATTTCAAGACCAAGAAAACGACTAACTTCTCCCAAATTCTTCATATCAAATTGAACAGATAGTGTATTTTTCAACTTAGAAATCTCAGCTTTATTATATCCAGTAATGATCATGTCATCCACATATAATAAGACCATCAAGTGCATATTTGATTCTATTTCAGTAACAAACTAGAATCTGCATCAGAAACTTTAAAGCCACAAAAGATAAAGTATTGAGCAACTTTACCATACCAAGCACGTGGTGCTTGTTTAAGTCCATACAACGCCTTCTTCGACCGGCAAACATGCTGAGGATATTGCGTAGAGACATAACCTTTAGGTTGTTCCATAAAAACAACATGATCCAATTCTCCGTAAAGAAAAGCATTTTTTACATCACATTTCCACAACTTCCAATCCTTAGATGCTGCAACGGAGAAAATAGTTCTTATTGTTACCATTTTTGCAACTGGGCTGAAGGTCCCCTCATAATCTAGTTATTGAGATAAACTCTGCATTATTTATAGCCCTTTAGGGTAGTTGTACTTACAGCATTAAGAGTAGTACCAATCAGTTAGGTTAGTTGAGTTAGTTAGACTTCCAAAGGTTAGTTAGTCAGTTATTTGGGAGTTAGGCTCCGTTAGTTTCTTTCTTCTCTGATTGTGTATTGTATATATACTAGTTTGTTGAGATAATGTGATTGAGATTTCATTTCGTAATTTCATTTTGCTCCTTTCTCGAAGATGCTCTCAATTTCAGTCTTCCTCTCTAAATCTCCATTCACACCATTGGAGCTCTTCTCGAGCTCTTGTTCCTTTGCTCTGCTGACTTTGATATGGTATCAGAGCGCAGTTGATCCTACACGTATAAGATTGGTGTAGATCATCGATAGCTGGATCTGCACATTGCAATTGCAGGTAATTATTCTCTTCGCAAAAAATAGGGTTCTTAGATCTCTGCTTCTCTATTCCTCTTTTCATTTCAAATACTGTTGATTGAGTAACTCCCATGGCTAATAATGAAGAAATCGAACACATCGATGTGGACTCGAGCAAGGAGCCCACTATTGACTCAAGTAGTCTGTTATACATGCATCCATCGGATAATCCTGGTGCAATGTTGGTACCAGTTCCTTTCAATGGGATTGGATATAGATCTTGAAGACAAAGTGTGCTTCGAGCATTGTCAGTTAAAAACAAACTAGGTTTCATTAATGGTGATTGTAAGAAACCAGATCTAGAGTCTCCAAAATATAGACTATAGGAGAGGTGTGAAGATATGGTCACCTCATGGATTTGGAATTCCTTGGGGAAGGAAATTGCTGATAGTGTGGAGTATGTCAATGATTTTGTCGAATTGTGGAAAGAGCTGGAGGATCGCTATGATCAAACGAAAGGTGTGAAGCTGTACCAAATTCAAAAGGAGATAAATGATCTATTGCAGGGAACACTAGACATTACTAGCTACTATACCAGGCTGAGGAAGTTGTGGGATGAATTCAACACCTTAAGTGTAAAAACACAATGCAGTTGCAATTGTACTTGTGAAGCCAAGGAGAACATGCATAAAGCTGAACAAGATAGACGATTGATCCAGTTCCTTAAGGGACTTAATGAAGTGTACACTAATGTGGTAAAAGGAAGCATTCTCATGATGAATCCCTTTCCATCCTTGGCCCAAGCCTTCTCTTTGCTAATTCAAGAGGAGAAAAAAAGAGAGATCAAACTTAATAAGCAACTGATGTGTGAATATGCCTCTTTGAATGTCAACACCTCCAAACAGCCTGCTTTCAAGACCAACTATAACCCAGGAAATAACTATACATCTAATAGTAGACCTCGTCTTGTGTGTGAGCATTGTAGAAGGCCAGGACATACCAAAGATAGATGCTATAAATTTCATGGGTATCCTCAAGGCTCTTAGAACTCCAATAAGCCTTTTCAAAGTAACAATCAGAAGTTTCAAGGAGCTAATCAGAACTTCCAAATCCCAATCAAGGTTTCAGGTTCAATAGAGGAAAAAGAACAGTAGTAAATGTACATGGTCCTCCAACTGACAAGATAACTTGTAATGGAGATAGGGGTGACCACCATAATGAGAATCAGGGAATGAGTTTCACCAAAGAACAATATGGTCAACTCATGAGCTTGCTGCAACACTTCCAAACCAGCAGTGGAGGGGAGAATTCATGCAATGTGAACCTGAGCTCTGGAGCTGCAAACTTTGCAGGTATTGTAGTATGTACTTCTTCAGTTGACTTTGGCAAATTGTCATGAAGGTGCTTTAAATATAAGACTGATACATGGATATTAGATTCGGTGACCTCAAATCACATGACCTTCAATAGATCCTCAATGTGTGACATCACTATCTTACCTTATCCCCAATTATTCATATTACCAAATGGGTATAAAGTTAGAGTAACAGAAGTTGGAAGTGTGAAGCTTGCACCTAGGATTGTGTTGCACAAAGTCCTTTTTGTCCTTTTCTTGAAATACAATCTCATTTCTATTCATTTACTGACCTTAAATCTCAAAGGAATTATATTCTTCACTGATGGTGTTTGTATGTTGCAGGCCCCTTCACTGAAGAGGCCTCCAGAGATTGGTAGATTCAAGGATGGACTTTACCTCTTGTGCTCTCAATGCTTGAAACAAAACGATGCAAGTTCTTCCTCTATCACATTCAAGTCTGTTCCTTGTTTGTCTATTCACCCATGTGATGTCCAACACGCTTACCTTCAATCTGTATATTATTCCTTTTTGAATAAAACAACATCTGCTAGTAGTGATACTATTATAAATGTTTCCTCATCTGTAAATAAGATCAGAAGTTGTGTTTCTTTGAATTCCTATTCTTCTTATGAGAATGATATTCTTTGGCACAATAGACTTGGGCATGTGCCTTTTGTAAAAATGAAGGGAATAGCATCTATACCTTTCACTTTTTCTTCTAAACAACCTTTTGTGTGCTTAATTTGTCCTATGGCCAGACAAAATAGATTGCCCTTTCCTCAAAGAACTAGCACTTCCCGTAGCATTTTTGAATTGCTACACGTTGACCTTTGGGGGCCTTATCACACTATCAGCCATGATAACTACAAGTATTTAATCACTATGGTTGATGATTTGAACAGAACTAAATGGACACATCTCTTAGCTTGCAAGAGCAATGCAATTCAAGTCATTAAAGATTTTGTTTCAATGATAGAAAACCAATTCAAAACTACCATAAAGACCATAAGAACAGACAATGGTCTAGAATTCACCAACATAGAAAGTAACACCTTAATTCAATTAAAGGGGATCATTCACCAAAAGTCCTGCCCATACATACCACAACAGAACAGTATGGTGGAGAGAAAACATAAGTATTTGCTTGAGACAGCTAGGGCGCTCTTATTTTAGTCAAAACTGCCTATAAAATACTGGGAGAGTGTGTGCTAACAGCAACCTACAACATAAATAGACTGCCCATTACATACCATAAAACAAATGTCTTTTTGAACTCCTATACAAGAAGAAACCACTATATTCCCAAATGAGAAGCTTTGGATGCCTATGTTACCCAACAGTACCTAAAGTACACAGGGATAAGTTTGAACCTAGAGCTACCCCACATGTTTTCATAGGTTATCCTTTTGGAACCAAAGGGTACAAAGTCCTGAGTCTTGTTACCAAAAAGATTCAAATCTCAAGAGATTTATCTTTTCATGAAAATATTTTTCCCTTTGCAATTGTTCCAGATGTCTCCTCTTTTCCCTTTTTGCTAAAATGTGTTCCCTTTGTTGATTTTATGGATGATGTTGATTGCAATGTTCAAACCAATATAGAAAGCAATCCAGATGGTACAAGTAACATGGACAATGAACTATCACCTATTAGTAACAATGAAATATCACCTACTAGTATCACATCCACATCACCCCACAACAATCACATTTTTGATAATCATTCAATCCCAAAATCATCCCCAGCATCAAGCTCTAATGAACAAACACCACCAGTTTTGAGTGATCATTATCTTCAAACAAATAATCAGAATAGTCCTACTCTTAGAAGAACCCAAAGAGAAATCAAAACACCTACATACCTAAATGACTACATTCACAATGTACCTAAATTGCATTCCAATAGTTGTATACCATCTCTAAATGCTTTATTGTCAAAGCGTCATTCTGTTTCCCCTGAAGTTCTAATCCATGATAGTCAGTCTTTGATGCAAAGTGTCTGTCAAGATAATGAACCTTCTTCATATGAAGAAACAACTATCAATCCTGCTTGGCAGGTCGCTTTGACATAAGAGTTTGAGGCATTACATGCCAATAACACATGGGATTTGCTCCCACTACCAGCAGGATAGAACGCCATAGGCTGCAGGTGGGTATATAAAGTAAAGCATAAAGCTGATGGAAGTATTGAAAGGTTTAAGGCTCGCTTGCTGGTGAAAGGATACACACAATAAGAAGGAATAGACTACACAGAAACCTTTTCACCAGTGGTAAAAATGACCAATGTGAGAGGACTCATAGCAGTAGCAGTCAAAAGAGGATGTGACATATTTCAACTAGATATAAATAATGCTTTTCTTCATGGAGATTTGAATGAAGAAGTATTTATAGAGGTCCCTCCTAGGCTAATGGTACCTGGACCAGGACTAGTCTGTAGGCTAAACAAGTCTCTATATGGCTTGAAACAAGCCAGTAGCCAATGATATGCAAAATTGACAGAAGCATTGTGCTCCAGAGGTTATGAGCATTCCATGCATGATTATTCATTGTTCTACAAGAAGACTGGGATATCCTTGGTATATGTACCAGTGTATGTTGATGATATGATACTCATAGGAACAGATCTTGACGAAATAAAACTTTTGAATAAATTCTTACATGATAGCTTCAAAATTAACGATCTAGGAAGTGTACAGTATTTCCTTGGATTGAAAACTCTTTTTAAGGATGATGGGGTCATCATCATCCCAAGAAAATTTGTCATTGGTCTTTTGAAAGAGTATAATTGTCTCAGCTGTAGTCCCTTATCATCACCCCTTGATCCAAATGTGAAATTAGAAGCAAAAGAAGGTACACCTCTGCTAGATCCCAGCTGTTATAGAAAGTTGATTGGAAAATTAAATTTTCTAACTAACACAAGACTGGATATAACTTTTAGTGTTCAACATCTAAGCCAGTTCGTGCAAGACCCAAGAGAACCACACTTGAAGGCATCTTATCACTTATTGAGACACTTGAAAGCTGATCCCGGCCTAAGGGTTTTCTTCTCCAAAAATGTTTACTATACAGTGAGAGCATGCTGTGACTTTGATTGGGCATCATGCCCAGACTCCAGAAAATCAGTAAATAGGTATATTGTTTTGCTAGGAGATAGCCCTATCAGCTGGAAATCAAAGAAACATGAAACCATTTATTTGTCATTAGCAGAAGCAGAATACAGGTCCATTAGAAAAGTGGTTGGTGAGCTAGTGTGGTTACAAAGGCTACTTGAAGTACTCACAGTCCCATTCCCTAGTCCAATTGTAGTATTCTGCGATAACCAATCAGCACTTCACATAGCAAGGAACCCAGTATTCTATGAACCAACGAAACATATTGAGGTCGATTGTCATTTCGTTCGAAACAAACTACGGGAATGGCTCATTTCTCTACATCACATTAGAAAAGATCATCAACTTTCCGACATTCTCACTAAAGCATCAACATGGATCAAACATTCCAACATCCTCAGCAAGTTGGAAGTGACAACCTCACTTCCAACTTGATGGGGGTATTGAGATTATTAAGAGATAAACTCTGCATTATTTATAGCTCTTTAGGGTAGTTGTACTTACAACATTAAGAGTAGTACCAAGCAGTTAGGTTGTTAGTTGAGTTAGTTAGACTTCCAAAAGTTAGTTAGTCAGTTAGTTGGGAGTTGGGCTCCGTTAGTTTCTTTATTCTCTTATTGTGTATTGTATATATACAGATTTGTTGAGATAATGTGATTGAGATTTCATTTCCAAAATTCATTTTGCTCATTTCTCGAAGATGCTCTCAATTTCAGTTTTCCTCTCTAAATCTCCATTCACACCATTGGAGCTCTTCTCGAGCTCAGTTGTACCTTTGCTCTACTGACTTTCATACTAGCCCATAACTTTGAGAAAAATCACGTGCAAAGAGCCGAGCTTTGTACTTATTAACGACCCTATCTGAGTTTTTCTTCAGCCGGTAAACCCATTTGCAAGTGATAAGCTCGCAATTCTTTGGCTTCGACACCAACTCCCACGTTTGGTTTTTGTTCAAAGCATTAATTCCTTCTTGCATAGCTGCTTCCCACTTTGGATGACGTTTGGCTTCTTCAATGCTTGCTGGTTCTTCATCTAATCCTCCTATAAAAAAGCATGAAGTAATTGAGTAGTTTTTCAGTTGTACCTGATAGTTTTTCACGTAACATATGACAAATTGAGCCAAATACCCGAAAGTAATTTATATTTGGCTTTTCATCATATAGAGTCTTAAATGGAGATATTTCTTTACCTAGCTATGGAGGCAAAAGATTTATTACATGGTATGCACATTGAATAGCTTCAGCCCAAAGCTCTCGAGGGAGATTCTTATCGTGCAACCAAGAAAGGCTCATGGAAACAAGATGAGCTAATTTCCTTTCCGAGACAACGTTCTGTTGGGCGGTACTTGGATATGTCATTGGCCTTGAAATATCGTTGTCATCACAGTACTTGAAGAAATAATTTGACATATGCTCGCCTCCATTGTTTCTTCGTAAACATTTAATATTCACCCCAAATTCCTTTTCCACAGTAGTTTTAAACTAAGCAAATTTTGACAAAGCTTCGCTATTTTCTTTCAAGAACTTCACCTATGTATATCTTGAAAATCATCTACGAACACCACGGCGTAGCGAAAACCACAATAACTTGTTGATTTTGTTGGTCCCATCAAATCGGTATGAGCCAACTCAAATATAGATGATCTCTAATTCAATGACCTCTTAAATGGAAGACGATGTGATTTGCCTAATTGACAGCCTTGACAAACTACATCTTCAAAATATTCTGTAGAGCTGGTATGCCATCTACCAATTTCTTTGAAGAAATTTGCTGCAACAATTGGTAGCCTAAGTGTCCCAGTCGAATATGCCAAATTGCTGGACTGTCTGTTTGTCTTGTCTTCTTCACATAGGCTTCCCCTAATGCCATGACAAATAAGGAACCTTTCTTTTCACCATCAAGAATAACATCAACATCTATATTCTTTACGTTATCAAGAATCTTTACATCATTTAGACCGAACAAAACATATTTTCCAGAATTGGTAATTTGGGAGACTGAAACTAGATTTCTCTTCAAACCTAGAACATGAAAGACGTTATTCAACTTGATAGCCCGTGTATCTCTAACGTCAATCTTTAAAACTCTTTCTTTAGCTACTGATATACCGAGTTATCAGTTGTAATAATAACTCGTTCTCCGTTATGTTGACGTAGCTCTGAAAGTAGAAAATCATTGCCGGTTGCACGATGAGAGCAACCAGAATCAATGATCCACTCTTGTCTGCAGCTATCGTGGTGGTAAAGAACTTGAGCTGGTACGGCACCATCGTTCCTCCATTCGACTACTTCAACGGTGAAGCATTGCTCCATTTGAGTTGCTCGTTTCCTTCCATTTCACTAGCAACATTTACCTTTGAGATCTTCACTCTACAGTTTTTCTTGATGTACCCGATTTTACCACATCTATGGCACCTTCTCTTTTCAAACTTGCCATCAGTAGCTTTTCCGTTGTTTGAGCCTTTCTCATTGTTCTTATTTCTTGTTGATATGTTTTTCTTTTTATTCTTGTCCTTTGAGAAGAGAACGACATCGGATTCAACACTTTCTGCCATTTTCTTTGCTAAAGCCTCTTGGTTGGAAAGCAAATTTTCTAATTCTTCAACTGAAGGTTCCTTTGACCAACCTTGAATGGAGGTGATGAAAGGATCGTACTCCTTCTTCAATCCTCGAATAAGAAATTGACTCAATCTTGCTTCGCCGATCTTCTCATCCGGATCTAATTCTGAAATTTCAGCACAAATGCTTTTAACTCGTAGGAAATATTCAAAATTAGACATACCTCCCTGTGTTAGCATTGCCAATTCATTTTCCAACAGCTGTAACCTAGCTGTATTCTTTTAAGAAAACAATCTCTCAAGTGTCTCCCAGACTTCTTTTGGTGAACTAACATCACGTACATGATCGATGAATTCTTTTCCAATTGATGTTCTTAAAGCAAAGAGAGCTTTACCACATTTGATCTTCCATTTCCATCGTGGTTCTGCATTTTCCAGAGTATTTGCTGCAATGTCTGCTTCAGCACCAACGATAAGATCCCATAAGTCTTCACCTTGAAGGTAAGCCTCCATACACATTCTCCAGTACTTGTAGTTTGTCTCTACATGCTTTTCAACACCAAATTATGCATTCGAACTACTTCCCCTATTTGCCAATTCCATACTTCACAAAGAGCTTCTCCTCTACAACTTTCGATCTCCTCCAACAAGACAGCGCGAACTTGATAGACAAGAAGAAAGAAAGAAAAACCAAAGTTCAACAACGTGGCTCTGATACCATAAAGCAGAAAAATAACAGCGGAAAGAAGAAATTGCAGTCAAAGAAATTGTAGGAGAAATAAAACACTGAAGAATGTTATTGCTTTCACGGGTACTCTAGTTTACAACACGATATGCAAAGAATATAAATAAGACTGAACCACTAACATTCAAATCCTAAAAAGACTCTAACAACTAACAAAGAATCCTATCCAAATTAACAACTAGTTGATACTATTCCTATAAAATAGGAATTGAATTATTTGACTCAGTAAACATAAGTGAAATAGTAAATAAAACATGTAAGATGCACTAATTTTTAACAAAGAAAATCTAGTAGCATACATAACAAGATTTGGGTAATAGACACTTGAAGAATTATACAATTCTTAAATAAAATTAGGTGCATTCATATAGTTGAGGTCCAAAACATAAATAAAATAGAATCTCTCACAATAAACATAACCTATAATTGGAGAATAGACATTTGAATTCTTCCCCACATCAAAGGTGCATCCTCATATTGAATACCTAATTATTTTTCGAGGACAAGACAGCGAGGACAAAACAAAAAAAAAGAAAAATAAAATCTAGACTAATAATCCATATAGATGAAACCGTCTCACAAAACCATAGTGGTTGCAACAATTTCTGCCGCCAACCCATCATCAGAAGCATGCATCCAGGAGACAGCAACAGCACAGTGCAGCCAAACTATAAAAACATAACAGCTACTATTAGTAATCTGCCTTAAAATTGGGTGTAGAAACAGTGTAAAGATGCATAAGCTAATTCTAGCAATATATGTACATTGAAAACTTAAAAGTATACACTGAAGTATTGCAATCATAAACTTAATAATTTGAAGCATGGAAATACATTCAACAAAACTCTTGGATTGACTTTTACACCCTTTCACAAATCACAATTCCAGCAAATTTTTACCTCCTATCATCTATCTAACTAAAAAGCAAGCATACGCCCAAACTAAAAGGATAGAAGAATGGGATCATTCGTTGATGGCCTTCTCTTGTTGTAACGAGCCGACCTGTCATTTTGAGAATTAACGTTGGGCATCACAATGTCTTGAGTAGCTTTGTATCGTGTGTTATGACGCGTGTGTTGTCGATTTCGATTTCCGGATGATTCGGACTCAATTTGGAAGGAGAATTCTTGTTTTAGAAGCTTAAGCGGTGAGAGTTGACCAAGATTTGACTTTTATGTAAACGACACTGGAATTAGGTTTTGACGGCTACAACAGCTTCTTATGGTAATTTTGGACTTAGGCATGCGTCCGGATTTGAATTTGGAGGTCCATAGGGTAAATTGAAGCATTTCAGCAAAAGATTAAAAAGTTAATTTTTGGAAGGTTGAGAGGTTTGACCAAGAGTTAACTTTGGTGATATCGGGGTCGGGATGCGACTCCGAGAGTTGGAGCAGCTTCGTTATGTCATTTGGGACTTGCTTGCAAAATTTGACGTCATTGCGGGTTGATTTGACAGGTTTCGGCGCGAGTTTTAGAAGTTGTAAGAATTGAAATTTCATGAGTTTGATTCATGGTGCGATTCGTAGTTTCAATGGTTTTTGAAGCCCCGACTAAGTTCGTGTCGTGTTTTAGGATGTGTTGGTATATTTGGTTGAGGTCCCGGGGGCCTCGGGTGTGTTTCGGATGGGCTACGAGCCATTTTCTCATTGCTTTGTTTAGCTATTCTGACATCTGGTGTCCCTTTCTATGCGATAGCGAGGTTCATGCCGCGTTCGCGTAGGCTGTTCTGGGACTGACCATTATCCCTTCTTTGTGTTTGCAGTGGGTGGGCCGCTATCACGTAAAGGTGTGTTTTGTATTCTCCGCGTTCGCATCATTCTGACGCCTTCGCATAGTGCTCTTTACCTGGGCTGTGATTTTTCCTTAATTGCAATCACACCTTTTCTCTCGCGATCGTGAATTGTGGCTTTGGGCAGCAGGTAATTCTTTCACTACGCGATCGGGTGAGTTCTTACGCGATCGCATAGTATATTTTGGGCAGTAGCCATTTTTTTTCTTTGCGATCGCCGTATATCTTCGGCGATCGCGATGTACAAATACCTAGACAGTGTATAAAAGTACTCTATTCCGTTGGTTAGCCATTTTTATCATTTTTCGAGTTCTAGAGCTTGGTTTTGAGCGATTTTTCGTGGG